GTTCATCAAAATTATTCGTGTGAATCGGTACTATTAGTGTCAAGTTGATCACCCTTTGTGAAATCAAATCAAGAAAATATGATAGTCATCCTTATTGTATATATAGATGACATTATCCTTACAGGCAAAGACGCAAGGGAAGCTGAAACAATAAAAGAAAAATAGCTTCTGAGTTTGAGATCAAAGAACTTGGAACTTTACGATACTTCTTGGGAATGAAAGTTGCTAGATCCAAAGAAGCAGAAAAAATATATTATTAACTTATTAAAGGAGACAGAAATACAGACCAACAAATACTCCTATGGATCCCAATTAATGAGCATCAAAAGGAGAGGATAATTACCAATATTAAATCATCGTTTCGAAGGTGAAGATGGTCTCTAATGAAGTAATAGTGAAGCTCAAGGGTAAAATATTGTCAAGTAGTAGATTCCGCCAGCTTTAGTGCCAATTATTCTATTTTCATGGATATCCTAAAAGACATGATGAGAGGGATAAATGATTACAAAATATTGGAAGTATTATAAGGCAATGAATAGAAGGCAAGTTAATACAAATTTGTGGAGCATATAAAACATTTAATAAATGAGTTTTCATAGAATGTATAATGCCCTTCCCAAAGATGAAAGAAGGGCACCCATCAACAAAAAAAAAAAGGTGGATGGGACCTATCATGTGGTTGGAAGCACCTAGCTCTAACGACCAAGACATACCATTAAGAACAACTACGTACAATAAATCCCGATGAAGGCACAACATGAAACATTGAGATCAATGACTTGGAATGTTGAAGTCATCAATCATTGTTTTCTAGAGAAAGAGTGGTCCGATCGACAACACCAAAAAGAGCGCACAAAGTCAAACTACTTTACAATTGAAATGGTGTCAAATTTCACCTAGCAATGTTAGGAGAATGATTGGTGCTGCTACAAAAAGGGAAAGATGGAAAGTTTTCCAGCAATAGTCATGTCCGCCCCCAGAATGGCCACCATAACCATGAATCCTCCGACAACCCTTAAGAGCAAGCTGCCAAGGATGGTTGATTAGGAGTGGGAAGTTGGTGAATAGAAAGTGCTGTGAAGCAAAAAAGTCAAAAGAGAGCGGCAAAATGTTGAAGACCAAGAGTTTGTCATCACTTGAGATTTGTACGCAATAAAACAAAAGTAGAAAGACAAATAAAATTGTCGAAAAAGAATACTTTAATCAACTTTTGTCAAATAGCTAGAAACAAAAATTTATACCAAGATTTTTTAATGCAATTTGAATCGGGATAATAAAACAAAATGTTCAAAGCTGTAAGGCAAAAACTCAAAGTAAGAAGAAATTTAAATTTTTTGTGATGACAATTAATCCATAGTGTTTTTTTTCATGTTTAAATGTCTTCTAACTTTGAGCATTTGCCTAACAACTATGATCATTTTATCAAACAAATTGCATCAACATATCTTGACATAATCTTTATCTATAGCTAGATCAGTAATGAAGTAGCAACTCATCATATTTTTCTCTCAATGTGAGAACACTCTTTGAGTAGCATATCATCTGGCTGAAATATAAATATTTCGAAAGTGTAAACATGAGTTTTTTTTTTTTTTTTGAAACTAAATGGAATGAAAAAAAATCTTTTATCTATTTGACAAAATCTTGAACAACATAATGATTGAAACAATGAAGTTTAAGACTACTGAATAACAAGGTAAAAATAGTATAGTCGGGACCCACTTTGAGAACTTGATGATGTTAGTGTATCTAAAGAAAAGGCGTCGTGATGTATTTTATTATTAAAACCGAAGAAAAGTAGGTGAAATGCCTACGCCCATATGAGAATATTGTACAATTAAATTTACATTAATGTCAATGGAGGGTCTAATTCATTGAGTTATAAGCGAGAATATGGCACTACTTTGGAGAAAGAGATAGGGGATTAGATAGAAAACTTTGATCATAGATATTATGGGAGAAAGGTGATGGTATGCCTTACGGTTGTGGGTGGGTGGGTGTCACGACCCAACTTGATATAAACCATATATGGTAATAGATTATACCAAGTCGAGAGCGCAACAGATTATTTTGCCCAAGATCTATTTGGAAGAAATTTCTTTTATCTTCTATTTCTCATTACACAGAGCTACTAAGTCGCCGATAATAGTAAAAAAAAAAAAACTAAAGATCGTTATCATTTCATTTTCCTATGAACATCAAAACTATTTACATCCAAAACATTTATATACATTTATCATGATTTTCTAATAATTCCAGCAAGACATATAAATTTATCATGATCACAAAATACATGCATAAAATATGCATCTATCAGCAAATATTAGCAACTCACTCCACTTGAACCTTTCCCTGAGAATATGTAAAAGCAACCAGAGTAAGTAAACAGCTCAGTAGGTTACACAAAACCTACAACTGAAATCAATGCACGAAAATAAAACAATATGCATGACTGTATCATAATCTTGTCATTTATGTTAAACAAGTAGTTATGTAGGTCAAGTGTGTAGGTCAATGAACATGCATATGTATACTGTAAAATATGCCCAAAATATGGTATCAAATCACAATAGTAGCAATAAATAAAATGCATATATTCAAGAACAACTATCATCATACATATAATATACAAGTTAGGTGATTTGGCTAATCATGTGGTGTTTTTCTTGTACCAATCATAATAAAATAGGTACAGTATCATATCATATCATGTCAGTAAAAACTATCAAAACAGTCAGTCCGGTGGCACGGTACATGGGATTCTTCAACCCAGCCCGTCGACACTCATATCAATCATATTCACCCCTTAAAACTCCCAACATATATCAGGTTTACACCACTAACCCATTTAAAGGAAAACCCGTCGACCCACTCTCCTGCGCAGGATAACATATCTCCGCCAATCTAAATCATAGTAGTCAGCTTTTCTTGCACACGCACAAACATTTCACAATATCTTTCATTTCAAGCAGTTAAAATATGCTCAGCATCACAGTGTATTTGTAAGGCGTGCGTGTATAACAAAATAAGGAGATTCACAGTATGCAATAATATTACAAATTTGTATGCACTAATTAAAATAGAAATTGCATATTAAGCATGTTTATCGTCTGTTTTATGTAAGTATTTCATAATATGTATATTTTAATTACAATTTTATAAAATTTTCTATAACTCAAATTAAAAATTTGCCTCAAACATATGAAATACCAGGTGAAAATTCAATATGCATGTATCAAAATATGCAGAATAGCAAAGACAACAACAAATTAAAAATTACTCGGTGAAAGTTTTCAAAATACGACAAATAGTTTAGAAAATATGCAAAATGATAAAATCACCGAAATCAGAGGTAGAGTAACGGTAGCCTACCTTGAGTCGGTCAACCTTTTCAACAAAAACCTTCCTTCGTTTTCTCTCTCCCTCTCTTTCTAGCTTATTTTCCTCTTCTTCCTTACGGTTTGGTAAAGTAGAAAATGCATGGGAAGATTCTTAAATGAGAATTAGGTGGATTTTATATAAAAAATGTGCCTTTGGTATAAGTGCAATTATGAGAATTGTTTGGATTCATTTGCAAACTTTATATAAAACATCTTATATCTTGAAATCCACAACTTTAAAAGTAATAGAAAAATATGCATTAGATAGCTTATCAAGTCTAAGATACTTCGATAAAAATGGTTTCCAAAACCGATATTAAACGGCTCAAGAAATAAATCTATACTCGCACATGTATATTTCTTAAGCAATTACAATTGTATCATTAACCTTATAATTTCATGTTTATATTTATCGTAAAAATATGAAAAAAACATACTAATTAGAGTTCATCATTTTCTATATCATGGTAAGACGGTTTGTCAATCGGACTTATAACAAACCCTTAAAAATTATTCAAAGTTTATAGGTCCAATTTTTCTTTTATATATTTTCTATTATTTATTTATTATTTATTAACCAGTTATTTTGAAAATGATTTAAAGTCTAAAATAACATAAAAATACATTTTAATGCATATATTGAAGCATCTATTAATAAAGTACAACCTTAAGTATTATGATTGATTATCATATGTACAATACTTGGTATTACAACGTGTGTGTGTGTAGCACTGTGGGATGACTCATGAGCAACTGTAGGGAGTGAGCACGGAGGGCTGCAAGTCAGTGGCAACTACCGAGCACACGAGTGAGATAGAGATGGATTGGCGTCACCTAAGATATTAGGAGTGATCAAGCGAGCATATGAGCATAAGCAAGGGGCTGCAATTACAAAGAGTGTGAGCGAGTATGCACAAGAGTACGTAAGCAGGGCTACAGATGTAGTGAGTGCATGCAAGCGAGCAAACAAGCAAGATGAGCAAGTACAAGCCACAGACGAATTCACACATATATAAGAAAGTGCAAGAAAGCAAATTAACAGCAATGGTATCAAGATCGAAAAAGAGGCTCGAAGTCAAAAGAGAGGGGCGGGGCCCAGCAATTGCAATCCTTACTCTTGAACAGTTGTACCATCCTAAGGAAAAAATTCTGATAAGTACTGCTCGATGTAGATTCCCCTTATAACAAAACAAATGCAAAGTTCTAGAGGGCACCAAGATTAACACATAATGCTCTTCAAATGTAGAAACCTTCCAAAGATAATTTTATCTTGTCAATCTATCATAAACCAGAAAACAAAAAATAAGTGATGCCATATTTTCTGCACTATGTTTTTATATTTAGAAACAAAAATAAAAATGAAAATAAAAAAAAGCTTTAAAAAAATGTCCTAAACGGTGAATTATGCATGTCTCATACAAGATGGGACCATGATAAAGAATCATAAAGCATTCTAGCAACCAGCCATTGTAACAGTTCCAGTGCTAATTAGAAATATAATACAGAACATAAAAAGACATATTTACTTAAGATTACAGGTACATGTTTGCCAATTACTAGATAAAGCGATAAAATTAATAAACCACGTGCAAGCAGAAAATATTTAGTAAAATCCTTAACCTGAAGTTTTCTAGCAAGCGCCTCATGGGTGTTAAATCCAGAAGATGTTCCGACGGACTCTTTTGCAATATTCAGCCTTCGAGTAACTTCTTCCTGTAAACACGCAGGCCTCAAATATGAAGTCATGAGAAAAAAAGTTTAAAGGGGTAACAATCTAAATCAAAAGCATATCACGAATGAAATAGAACAAGCAGTAATCCAATAAAAGAATCAAACCATGCCTAAACTTCGGGAAATAAAGGACCAGTAGAATTGGTACATTGCATGAGCATAAGAGATTGAGAAAGATAATATAACTGCGCCTGGGTAGCACTTGAACGGTGATCAACTATAGCTAGGAACTCATGACAACTAGAATGGAATTCAACTATATCAACCATTGTTAGTTGAAAAATAAAATATAAAAATATGAAATGAAAATACAAAGGTGATGACCAGTGATGTACTCATAAGCTCATCAGCTTCACTACAAAACGCAAACATCTAGTACTCATTCAACAGATGCTCCATTGACTAACAAGTACAAAGAGGAGGAAAGATAAGGACTTGACAAAGAAGTCTAATTCTCATCCCTTAACTCGTCACAAAGGCAACAAACAGCACAGTAGGCAATCGGGAGAGATATATGTTGAGCATAACTATTTACATCAGAAACTAGAACAAGTTTTAGTGGATCTGTATTCACAAGATAACTAAAAGAACCTAATTGGAACAAACTGTCATGTTTGTTTTAATAAGTAAATCAAAAGTTTGTTGAGGTGTGTTTTCTTTCTGATTAAAGTGTCAAAATACTCCCGACTATTTACATGGGGTCATTTTAGTCCCAATCTATAAAATTATAGATTAATCCCCAAACTCTTTTAATTAGTATAAAATAGTCCTTCTTCGAGACTATTTCAGCCCATTTATGGGGACTGAATTGCACTTCATAAGCTTTGGGACTAAAACGATCCCCTGCAAAGATTCGGGACCATTGAACACTATTTTTCATCTTGAACAAGTTTAGCTCTCTTAGCATGTAGTCAAATAATTTAAGACTAGAGTAAGAAAATATGTCATGGTGAATGCTTAAAAGAAGGGTTACAATACCATAATAAAATTAAAAAACTATGTAAAATGACTACACCACCAACAATGAAGTTTGAATAGTTCTACCAATTCAGACGGTTATACTACGAAGGGGAGAATTAGTAAGTTTAACTACAAGCAAACCATAAGAATTTACAACTGGAAGATCAAAAACAACAAAAAAGAGCTCCTAACAATTTTCCTAGCTAAGGGAGCAAGGTTCAATTTCTATCTGGCTTGAATCTTCTTTTTGGCAGGAAATTTTTTGTGCTAGACTCCCTGATTTTAATAGGGGTATGAGGTGTTACAAGAATAGATGCATGCCAAAACAGTCAAATAAAAATGAGAATAAAATCAAATAAAAGTCAGGGAAAGTAAGGCACACCATGCATTTGTTACAAACTCGAACTGACTGAGCTTGTTCATCAGCAGTGAGAGCTATTCTACCTTGGCTGCACTTATCACAAAAAATATCACCACAATTCCTGCAATGATGCTGAAAAAAGAAAAGATCCACTCTTCATGTCAAACAAAATCTTTCAAATTCAAAAGAAGGTATAAAGTTAATATAATATGAGACATGGTTATCAACTTACCCTTCGTACAAAAGCACCAAAACTTATTCCGCATGATGTGCACTTGCCAACAGCTTCGTCTGGAACCTAAATAAAATACACTCCCATCATGACCATTATCTACTTTATCCATTTAATGCAGCTTCAGTAGAGTGATAACAAATGAAAGGATTAAAAATAGTTGGGTAACATTTCATTATGAGTAAATGATCAAAATATTCTCTATATTATTTATTTGTATTTATCTAAGTTTCAACTTTTTCGTAAGAGTCTAATTCAGCCCTAAACTAATCAAGTCCGTGCATTTATTGTCCTTCAGTCATCTCATCTGTATAAAATTGATCTGATCAAGAGAAATTCCTGCCTAAAGACTAGCTTCCATCAAATCCAGATAGATAGATGAACCAAAAACCATAAAGGTAAGGATTTGAATTTTGCTAAAGTACTAAATTAAAAAGCCTGAGTCTAAGATGGAAATACTTGAATAATCGATGCCCCTTTTTATCATTTCATTATTGTCATTCTTCTCATCTCACCATCTTGTTATCTTAAAATTTTCTATGAATCCCAGGTCCAAAACATTTAAAAAACTTGAGGTCAGAGCTTTCACAGAATATTCTACAGAGTACAAAGGTATAAAATCGACAAATGGGAAACATAAAGGAAAACAAAAAAACATTGCCCATATATGATATTCAAGCAAAATTCATATGATGAGAAATAAAATACAAATTTTAGATAGGATTTTTTTTCATTATGTGAATGATGTTTTAACTTGCAAGGATATGGTAAGTAGTCATAATCTGGAACGCTTACAGTGCTTTGGCAATTCATATTGTTATTAAATAAAAAAAATTGGATGCACTTATATGCTTCTTATGGCCTAAATCAATTAAAAATTTATTCAGGCTCCAAATCTAATAAATGTATGCTGCAACGAGGTGTTAGCATATGATTATTTGCCATCACCTTTACTTGAGAGGTATGGTGCTGACCACATACATACTTCATAGTCAATCCAATCAAACGTGACAACAACATCGAATGATGGACAGTATCGCACAAGCCTAGATCAAAATGCCTCAATTGTATCAAAAAATATTCAAATGTCACACATTTTTGCAGAACAAAACAGCGTCAATGTGTCTGGTGCACTGAAGGTACCAAAAAGGGCTCCCCTACAATCAATACCCCGGTGATAATTGCATTGAACGCTAATCTTAATCAGATGGATACTATCATCAAAATGTCCTCAAGTCCTATGCAAATTGTTTGGGTAAAAATTTAAATAAACTTCAAAAAAATAATAATTAATAAATAATATGAAATTTACAAAGCTCAGGTAAAATAAGCCTTTATTAAACTTAAAGCAATTATCTGACCACTCTACACAATAATTTATTGAGGGTGATAGATTTAAGCTTGGCCTAACCTAATAAAGAGCCAATATCATATCAGATATCTTTATAAACACTCTCAAAGATCTCGAGCCAAGATAAACTAGACATTTGTCCTCTAATAATGTGATTTTGACACCCAATTACACCCTAAAAGGGAACATTTATAATTGATGCCCTCTTATCAAATAATTTGTCGTAAATAACTTCATTATATTACAATCATAGTAAGAGTGTAAGTTCTCCAATGACCCAATTCCCTAAGCTGTGAACATAGAGTGCACTTGAAAGGGTACTAAGCTCTATGTTAGCTAAAGCCAACTTAAAATTGTTCTTTTAAACAAACATCTACCCCAGCCCTTAAGCAAAGACAAATCACAAATGCCTACAAGAATCTTTCGACCAGGTTGATTTGACTATCACCTTCAACTAAATAGACCAAAGTCTGCAATAATTCGTTGGTGTTATAACCCATTCACTTAGCATCTAACAACAAGCCTTAATAAAATATTGTCTCTCATCACCATGAGGGGTGAATAATCATAGGGTCTTAAGCATGCAGAAAACTTGACCATATCATAGTCTTCAAAAAATGAAAGAAAAATCTTTAAATAGTATCTTACCTAAAATCAATTTGTCTTCTAATAATTTGAACCAAAATTAAACTCTCTTTAAAAAGCCCAATACAAGTTTCAGAACCCACAACGAGGAAGGGCATGGACTAAAATGTAGTGCTAACTAGGACCAAATAGAAATGCTAAGTGTTATATGACCTAAGAATACTACGTTTGATGGATACATGAGATACATCATGCAATAACAAACTTTCACGAGTATTTTGAAATGAGAAGAAAAAGAGCGTAAGCAGAAAATAAGAGCTAAGCAAATTTTCTATTGTAACGCCTCATAAATTAGAAACCAACTAATGTTGATTTTGTACTATTAGAAAGACGAAGAAAGGGGGCAAGCAGCACGGAGACAAAGTGAGGAGTTGAGGCTATCAGTGAAATGAAGATGACGTTAATTATGTGTAACAACCGGTTGCATAGGTGAAGGCGACAAAGACAGAGCCAAGCACAGGAGGCATGCGAGTTGGACCTTCTTTGTATCGGACTGTCACGAGATGATGCTCTTGATGTTCCCGATAGGAGGCATGCGAGATGACTCTCTTGATGTTCCCGATAGATCGAAGTGGATATAATCAAGCGGTCCATTGGTTTTATGGACTGCACTAATGAATGAGATAATTTTTTACTTTCCTAAACACAGGACTCATAGAATTCCGAAGCACCAGTTTGTTGACCACATATTAGGTCTTGTTTGCTTAATATTGTAAGGCATTTTGCAATGTTATCAAAAGATGAAAAGATCTCAAGGCCATAAAATGCTTTCCCTAGAAGTGAACATAGACATCCCAAGATGCGTACATTTCATGATTGAAATTTGCCTGGGTTTGAAACATCTTTTGTGCGATGTTATACAAATGTTCAATTAGTACATAAATACTGGTATTGTACTCATTTTAATAAAGGGGCATCTACATACATACAACCCAATTCTTGTATATTATAGATCTAACACCTTAACATTGATTTTTACATTTATACCACTCAAATCTTTCATATCACGTAAAAAATATCACTATTTTAACTTTTAAAAAGGAAATATACCTTTTAATGCATAGGTAAGTTGGCGTACATGTAAAAATTGAAGTTTAAGTGTTAGATATGTAAATGCATAAGAATTGAGTGGTATGCTTATATATCTTCCTTCAATAAATCATTTAAGAAACCTTGAAGGTGGCATAGGTGCATGCAGGCTAGAAATAACTGTTTCGAAGTAATTTTTGTGAAAATAAACTCGACAAAAAGTTTGTACAAAGCCCTGGTGAAATTAGTTCCAGTAATCTATTAACACAGTTACATGTAGGGATGCAATACTATGTAGCAATATGCTAAGAAAAACAGCATTTTAAATTTCAGAAAAACCACTATCATGTTAATCACATCATAACAATGCCCAGTAATTGGTATTTATGAAGTATAGTTTGCTCCAAAAAAATCAGCTTTAGAGCCGAAAACTTCATATTAAACCTGAAAAATTAAGAAAATAATTTACCACTCAAATTATAAGTTTTTAGACCATAGAAATATAAGTAGAAAAGTCCAACAAACAATAAATCATTGAAAAAAATCATTGATATTACTTACCCAATGATCTTTTTCTTCATAGTGAGGCTTAATCAAATTCATCCAATCGCCAAATCCCCTCTTCTTTTCAGTTAACTGTTCAGTTTGCTTGCTAGATTCAGAAGTTCCACCCATCTCCTTGAGCTACAAGCAGATCTCAAAAGAAAATAATGAGTTTCCGCTATTTGGAAAAAAGCTTGTAGCTAGCTGAATGTGAAAACAAAAGTGATTTTGATAACAAGATAAATGCATTGAAAAACAGTAAGAAAAATAATCAAACCAAAGTTCAGAAACTGCTTCCATTTTAGCATGCAATGCCCAAGGTTCAAATCATTAGTCATCTAGGAGATTAGCTTGAACGTTAAATAGGTTGGGAAGAGGATTAATGCAGTGTACTAAGGCCATAGCTTTAATAATTAAGGGTCTATTTAACCAAGGCACTCAATGAACAACTTGAACGAGGCTCGATTAAGAATCGATCATGTTCATTCAAATTAGTAAATAAACAAGCTTGAACAATTTTTAAAAGCTCGAAGCTTAAATGAACTAAACATAAATATAGTCGAACTTGTTCATTTACGTTCACGAACAAACTCGTCTGTTATTCAACAAGTAACTTGATAAATACTCGATATTAAGTTTGATGATAACTCATATCATATATGATATATTATTTAAATTAAATGTAATTAACTAGAATTTATTTAATTATAGATTTAATAATAATATGCTATTATATCAATAATATTTTTTGAATAATATATATATATATATATATATCTGGATGTGTCGTCGTCTCCGCTCTGCTATGGCGAACCCTAGCGTCTGCTACGATATTTCTCGCATCCTGCTCTCATTTCCTCTACTTAACCTTTATCGTCGGCTTCGTCGAGCTCGCATCGTCTTCGTCTCGTAGTTTTTTCGTCGGGCTGCGTTGTCTGGCTCGTCTTCTGCGGTGCTTCGCTACAAGCTGAAGGTCGTCCGACTGACCCAGCTCGCGTCGTTTCTGCTCGAGCTAAATTCGCAGGGGTTCTCGCGTCATCGGGTTGTGTCGTCTGTTCGTTGCAGGCTGAAGGGCGTCGCCCCAGCTCGGCAGCTGCGCCACCACAGACCCACGTTTGCGTCCTTTCTGCTTGAGCCGAATTTGCAGGGTTTCTTCACTATTTTCTAGCTCCTACTCCCTATTTTCTGGCTTCCGAATTTGCTCTATGCTTTGCTTTCTTCACTGTTCTTAACGCCGCACCTCTATCTATTGGGAATGGCTTCGGACAGATCGTATGTTACTGCCCTTGCGGGTGTCCACGCCTCAGGTACACCTAAATCGTTGCTCTTTTCCTCCTTCGAAATCTGGTAGGAAAAATGGGAAGTCTGTCATCTTTTTACAAAAGCCAAAGGTATTCAACTTTCTTCCTCCTGTCGACTGAATTTAGTTGAGAAATTTCTGGATGACCATCCCAAATGCGTCTGGTTGGGGAGTGAAAAATTGGACTGTTAGATTGGAAGACACATTCTCATACAAATTAATAATGAATAGGATTACGTGCGCTTATTTGCTAAAAGAATAATCTGGATTGATAACAGAGCGATGAAGATTTTGAAATGATCTGTGGATTTTGACCCCCAAACGGAACCTCCAATCATTCTGGTTTGGATTCGTCTCCCTGGTCTGAAATTTCATTATTTTACTCAAAAAGTTTTGTATGTTATTGCCTCAATTTATGGTAAGCCACTCAAAACGAACATTCCTATTTTTAATCTTTCTCGTCCATCTGAACCAGAGTACTTGTTGAAGGAGACATCACTTCATCTGTTTCCTAAGAAATTTGGTTGGGCACACAACATCATGAATATTGTCAAAAGGAAGTGATTGTGCATTTTCCTTCGTATTGTTCGAACTGTCGTATGTTCAGTCACTCGAGTTCTCAATGCCACCATCTACACACACACCTCAGACCAAAAAGCACAGTGCTCCGCCAGAGGCAGTGATTTCATCTCCTCCTGATCAGCTCCAACTTATTGACACCATTGATCATCAAAAGGATACCCCCGAAAACGTTACTATTCTCACAGGCAATAAGACAACCATTCAGCCGTCTTTGGAACCTCCTATCGTGGGTGAGAGGGAGATTCTTCAGACCCCACTTGCCCTAGAACATATCACCGATATTATAGGTGGCAATACTTCTGCTGCTTCACTACTAACTCATCAGGTTGAGCAAGTTATAAATGTTACTCAGACTCATGAGGATCATGATGTGCAACAGCCTACACCTGTCCGACCAATTTTGGAACAATATATTGATTAGATGAGTCAATAATTGGATGAGGAATGACAATTCTACACATCCAGGAGGAAGAAGAAGAATGGAGACCTAATTGAACTCAGAAATCTGATGGATGATACTTTGGTTACTTCGGGCAATGATACTCACCTCACCAATTAGTTAGCCGGCTCAATTCCGAGAACTAGAGGCAGAAGGAGGACTAAAGCGGGACGTCCCTAGCACTTTTATGCCCTTTAATGTCTTTTTGGTTTTTTTACTTTTTTATATATTTGCTTTATTTGAGATTTGTATTTGTTGTATTGTGTGAGTTGGGCTTTCTTTTATGCCCTCTGATATAATATTTCTGTATTTTTTTCGCTTTAATATATTAGCCCTTGGCTTTCTCTAATATATATATATATATATATATAATTTTATTAATATATAATTACTAATTAGATATTTTATTTTATTAAAATTTAGGTGTTAGATGTTAAAATACATAAGATTTATGTGGTATGTATGAAATTCCCCTTAAGATTAATTTTAAACCTCCGCAAATCTCACTTTGCCTCTGACCTCTCACAACCTTGCATCTCTAAGTTTTGCCCGAAGCATACAAAATCCTGAGTTGCTAAGGCATGCAAGCATCAAAGGCAACAACAAGATCGTAGTGTGCAAGGATCTCTGAATGATCATTCTACATTTTAACTTTACTAATTTCTCAAAGAAAAAGTTCTCAAATAATCATTCTACATTATTTGACATATAGCTCTCCTATAATCCTTTTAACTATCCTCTTCATAAGACATATAGCTCTCCTATAATCATTCTACATTTTAATACTTTTTATCACACCATAAAAGTAAATTTCTTCTCAATTATAATCATTCGCACCCACGAACTCTATCAAAAAGTCTCCATACTTACAATGGCTAGTGATAAAACTCTCCTAAAATACCAACTACAATTTTTTTATGAAATTAGTTACAATAGCTTTCTTAAGCTAAAGATACCCTCGGCCACAAAATATTTGACCTGATTATAAAACTCTAATTCTTTTTCTATTATCTTGAAAGATTAACTGCTTCTCATCTTTTAAGTTACAATATCTTATCCTAAAGCAACTCAATATTTTAATAATTTTCTTTAGACATTTAAGATATTCATTCACAATAACCACTATATATTGTATGGTCAAATTTTTACTTGAAACCCCCTCAAAATGATATATCATTCTAGTTTCTTCTAACAAAAAAACCAGTCTATTTGTAATTTTTCAAAAAATTAGTTTCTCTCATCATTCTTAAATATCACACTCTTACAGCCACTATAAATCATCTCATACTTGTTCTACCATAACATACAACTTAGCAACTACCCTCTCTTCCTCAAGTACATAGAGTAACAATTTATCTATTTTTCTTAAAATATATTTTTTAACCTATCCCCTAATTCATCGTGGCGAGTATAATCACTTACATTTATAATGTCATCGATAATTGTTAACTTAAGAGTAATCAGCCTATCATTAATCACATTCACCTCCATATTTTTATCTTCAACTCTATATCAATTATTATCGCTACCCTACCATTAATGTTCACCCTCTTTAATTTCCATTGCTTATAACCTTCATAGTTTAAAGATTTTTCACCTTCTCGTTTAGTTTCGTACGAACATCCGATATCGACTTTTTTCAAATTATATGCCAACTAATTCTAATGCTTTCCATTCAAATTCCGTATTTCATATGGCAAATTAAAATCTAAATTTGCGGTCAAGTCATCTATTGTCCACTTTTCACCCCAATCCGCTCAACTTGTAGTGCACCGCTTTCAAGATATGTCTTAGCCAGTCCTTGTGTAGTATTCATCACAATTGGTTTACGTTGTAGTGCGCCACTTGAGAATCACACTCTGGCAAAACCTTGTTTACTTCTCACCAAAATCAAGCCATATCATGGCGCATTATTTCTAGGGAACAACATATAGCTAACAAATTTAAAATTTGAGTTCACTTTCTGAGTTTCGGTTTAAATCTTACATTGATGCTCATCCTAACATAAGAAATAACCAAAAAATAAATGGGGGCATTTACATACATACCACCCAATTCTTATGTATTTACATATCAAACACCTAAAGTTCACTTTTTACATTTATACTACCCAAATCATTCATATCATATCAAAAATATCACTATTTTACCTTTTAAAAAGTGAAATACACCTTTTCACGCATAGGTAAAGTGGTGCATACATGTAAAAATTGAAGTTTAAGTGTTGAATATTTTAATACATACGAATTAAGTGGTATGTATGTAAAGCTTCCTAAAAGATAATGAAGTAGTATGTACAAAACCAAACATATGTACTTTGTCTACAAGGACAACAGACCTGAGCTATCGCAGCCGTCACAGAGTCAAGCATAGTATTGGAAGTGTAACTGTTAGATTGCAGTCTAACTCGCCTGGATTCAGGATCAACAGAACTTTTCGCCCAGAACACAAATATAGACGAATCCATTATCTAATTTCAAACCGAAAACAATCACCATCACATAAAGGGTTAACTTAAAATCCAAAATAAGCATTTCAAAGAAAGAAGAAATCAACTCACTTCCCATCTTGTCAGGTTCTCAAGGGGATAGATTCTCAATGTTCTATTACTGCTAGGATCAAGCATGTGAATCCCATCCAAACCAACCTGTGAAGTTCAAAAGTTAAATTTCAATAAAAGTCTATATGGGGAAATGGAAAATAGGTCAAGAGAAATTCTAAGAGTCACCTTATCTCATTAAGCATTGGTATTAATATTTAACAAGAAAAACAAAAAAAGCTAACAAATTTTCTTTAGAATGAGAAAGAAGAAGACACAATCAGAAGCTTTTCCAAATTAAAAATTGAAAACAAAAGGCTTTTAAACTATTTACATACTATTATATTGATAACGGGTAAATAGTGCACAACACAAGCACAAAAGCCAGGGAAATCTACCTGTTGACTTGGGTGTAAAAAAATTGAATATTAGGTGTTAGAATAAACTCACATATGTTAAAAAATATAATAGAAAATAATTTATTCCTATAAGAAGTTATGAGGAATAAATTATTTTCTTAGAATAAGGAGATATTTCCTTTCCTATTTTATATTTATTTCTTTAAAATAGGAATTATTCGTTTTCCCATTTTATATTATTTCATATATCTCATAATAATTAATATGAATTAATTATTAGAGATATCAGGTGAAATATCTTTCTTTTTATATCGTTTCATTTTTATTATTTTTTCCTTTTATATGATTCTTGTAAGGGTTTTATACCACCTTTAATATCAATGAAACAAATGAAGTATTCCACTTTATTTCGAATTATTCTGAATTTCAACGTGATATCAGAGCAAGGTTTCATACTCTAGTCACCAGCCCTCCTTTGAAAATTGTTGGACTCCATTCTTGTCATCCTCTATGAAGCAAATGAGGGACACTCATCTTGATATTTGAAACGACGATTTTTTCTCCTTCTCCAATCTCTATCCATTCCCGCCAGTGAAGATTCAATTGGGCCATCTCTCCGTCTTGAAAGCCCGGCTGTTGATCCGATAAGGGCTTTTCCTGCTTCCCCGTCGAGAAGGGCAAGCATCCAGTATCATCCCCAGAGTGGCGTGCGTCAGTCGACGGCGCTAGTTTTCCAATGGCCTCATAGCTGGACCATTACGCTGATGGCAAATCATCCGCTACATTCTTTTGTAGATGCAGTCGTGAAGCAGTGAGTGTCTCCACCTGATTATTTTGGACTGCAAAGGACAATTCCTCGGCAATCTGGTCATAGGAAGGGTAGCTTCAGTTTTGAGGAGTATTGGCTCTCGCCTCCGTTCTCGGCATCTCCTACTTCATCTCCGCCTACCAATGCGGCTGATGCCTTGCAGGCTAGATTGTGAACAGAGACTCCTCCAGTCAGCATACCGCAACAGATGATGGGGAGGAACCGTCTGCATCACACTCCTAACTTTTCAGATTTGACTAGAAGCTTGTTGCCACTGCCATCGCCTTGGGCTGATGTTTTGGAGGATTCACCTTCTCCGAGGACCTTCAGAAAGTCGGGATATCTTACTTCACGTCTGCACATGGCTCCCAAGAAACCATGACAGCAAGATGTTTTAGAGTTTGGCCAGACATACCACAAACCATCCAAAAAAAAAAACTTCCTGCGTTGTACCTTCCTATGCCGGCACCAGCGATGAGGCTCCAGCCAAGGCGGCACTAGCGATGTCGCCACCCGCCACATCATCATCTCGCCGGAGATATCGTTGTCATGGATCGGACAATGCCGGCAAAATCCATCGCCGATCCTTTCTTTTGCAGTATTTTTTTTTCTTCCATGTCCAAGCGTCAGGGGGGAACTGCGTTTCCAGCCGGTCATTTCTCAAGCAGTATTTTTTTTCTTCCCTGCCCAAGCGTAAGGTGGTTCCAGCCGACCCTTTCTCGTGCAGTATATTTTTTCTTCCCGGCCCAAGCGTTAGGGGAGCTCTGTTTCAACCAAGCTTGAACCAGCAAATTCAGCCAAGCATGAATCCAGCAAATTCAACCAAGTCTGAATCTCACTTATACGCCGAAACATATGACAGACAAAACTCAAAATTCAGTCAAGCCTAAATCTAGCAAATTCAGTGAAGCCTGAATCTCTCTTCTACGCCGAAACACATTGCAGACAAAACTCAAAATTCAGCCAAACCTAAATCTAGCAAATTCAATAATCCAAACGACCAATTTTTCTTCACTACTCAGCAAGTTAGGAGTTATTAACATACATTCCAAACTTGAGGCCAAACTTGAGGAGGAGTGTGAGGAGTGTTAAGAATTATAATAGAAAATAATTTATTCCTATAAGAAGTTATGAGGAATAAATTATTTTCTTAGAATAAGGAGATACTTTATTTCCTATTTTATACTTATTTCCTTAGATTATGAACTTTCGTTTTCTTATTTTATGTTATTTCTTATATCTCATAATCATTAATAAGAATTAATTATTGGAGATATCATACGAAATATCTTTCATTTCATATCGTTTTCTTTTTATTATTTTTTCCTATTATATGATTCTTGTAAGGGTTATTTATATCCCCATTCATATCAATAAAACAATAAAATATTTCACTTTATTCCGAATTATTCTGAATTTTAACAACACACGTAACACCCAAATACAAACTTTCATGTATAGGTAAGGTGGCACATATGTAAAATTGAATTTTAGGTGTTAGACATGAAAACACGTAAGAATTGAGTGGTATGCAAGTAAAACTTCCTTTTTTTCTCTCAAAATAGCAGTCATTACATTTCTCTCCATTGAAGGCTCATATTTGCTTGTCAATATGTTCACTTGTGGCCTTGGTAATTACACAACATTAGATAGACTCGATTAATAGCCAAAATCTCTCGTGAGCTGGAACAAACAATTATTTTTGTTAATGGGTAGCTGAGCCAAAAGTCTGTTGGATCGGATAAATTTAAATATAGTTAAAAATAATATCATCATATCAACTAGTTGTTTATGAAATTATCTTTAAGGAAATTATCACAATAAGAGTTTAAATATTATTTTATTTAATGTCATCAAACGCAAATGAGTGCTCTCCTAGGAACTCAATCAAGGAGAGGTGAAGCTCCAGCACCTCAAATACCTTTTAGGCAAATGTTATCACTAAGACATCAACGAGTACCTAGGTTTAAGGTGCTGAGCAATTAAGAGCTCATCTTAATGGTGCAATTTTTCTAATTATCTTTTAAAGAGTATGGGTGGTGAAGAAAATTGAAAGATAATGGCAATGATTTGATAAAACTTTTACGATATCTACTTATTTAAACTTGAAACATAACACTTAGGCTTGGTGAGCTTTTTATTTTAGATAATAGAGTTGGCAAGGTTTGTCATTTTATTATTGACACAAAATTTGAATTTTGTTTTTCAATGACATTTTAAGATATAATTGTGATGATTATCATATTGTACTCACAAAAAATACTCATAATCAAAATATGTGTCAATTTTAGCATCCGATCTCGGGAGATTGCCAAGCTGCACCTCAAGTATCAGATACCAATTGTCTTCAAGTCCCCTAGTGCATAAAATATCGTTGATTTCATTTAGTTGTTTAATCGTAATCAAGCTTGCCTTGACTCATGAAATGTCATCCAAATCAAAATTAGATAGCCTTTTGCTTGGATTTATATCTTAAGAAGTAAATCAAATATACTATCAAATTATCATCAAGAAGTTAACTTACAATTTTTTGTGATTGAACAGTGAGCCTGCGGAAAAGTATTGCCAAAGCATTAAAGGACTATATTTGAAACATGAACCCCTCGGCACCATGAGTGTGAAGGTGATCAGATTTGGCAAAATAATCATTGACTCTCATGCCTATCAAGCATTTAGTAGATATATAAATCCCCATATCAATAAAAATCCCATCACTCATTTAGATGATCAAAAATAAGATTAACATTTCTTTTGACGTATACGTATTTATATGCTCGATTCTTCACTCCATGTCTTTCTCATTAATTTTTTGCATTCAACGCAGAATCCAAACTCTTTGAATGAGACAAAACCATCACTATAGTCGAAGTTTGTTTCTCAATGTGTTATCACCCAATGTTGTATTTGACAACTACTAAAGAGTAGGAAGCACAATTTTGTCTATTGTACTCCTCTCCCCATCCCACACAAACCATGGAAAGGTATACGCATGGACTTCATCCACGACCTATATTATGCATAATGAATGATTCAATATTTGTAGAAGTGGGTGAAATTTTAAAAATATCATATTTTATCCCCATAATAAAACATCAAATGCATCTTTACTATTTTTTTTTGCAAAGTTGTGAGAGCTCACATTCTAAATTTATAGTTTTTAATCGGATGTTTGGATCATGAATTATTTTTGGGAGACTATTGACCTCATTTTGAGGTCAACTCTTTTCCTTAGGATCCTATGATCTAGTTCTAGGGGTTCCTATTGACTATCGTAGAAAACTAGTATTCGAATCCATCCCCTTAGAAATTCCAACCACTTCATATTTCTCTTGTGATGTCCTAGATTGATGATCTTAAAATCATCGTCATATGGTCGAGTGGCTAAGGACTATCATGTAGAGACTCAAGGAGAAGTTCTCAATAGGATCTCAAGCCCTAGGAAAACCTCTTCAGGACTTGGTCATCACACACACACACAAAATGCACAAAATTCACTAAGTTGCACAAAATCGGACGTAAATTGAGCTTAAAGGATGGGTGAAAGTGTGAACTTCTCCGGACGACCTCCGACAACAAAACGGACCACGCAAGCGCGTCCAGAACGCCAAAGTTACCAAAAAATGACATTCAATTTTCTACAATCTGACGCATGAATGAAAATGCATAAATCAAATTTAAAAAAATATATATTAAATATTTTTATATTTATATCATTATTTATAATCTTAATTATAACCCTAAACCCAATTTTTCCTATTCCTGCACATCGACCCCGCGGCTTAGTCAGATGCTTGGCTCGTCCCCTAGCGTGCCCTAGCTCCTGTGGATGATCCATGCGGCGATCTCTTCCCCCTCTCTCGACTCTTCGCCTTCTTCGCATGGCCGCTTGACCTTTCGGCTCTCCAATTGCAAGGGCTGAGCTGGCCAACACTTCTCCTTCT